TTTTTGAAAGTAAGTTACCTAAGACTGGTCAGAGCTAAGTCAGCGCTGAGTCATCGCTGACAGAGGCGCCGGTGCGACTCTGACTTTGCGTTAATTTAACATGTGCCTCGCGTTTTATCGGGCCGGTTGAAACATGGGCTGCATGTGTGAACCGGCTTTTTGGAGAACGAGACGCGGGAGCACTTTTAGAGTGCAACCTTCGAAAGAAGTAGGCCAAACAGTATCGTTAGCTTTTCTTCTTTTTTCTTCTATGTTAACGCAATACGCGCTTTTCTCTTCGTGTGTATTCAGTTTGCTTCGGATTTCTAATACTAACACGACCTCAGACCAGTGGCGTCACGAGAATCAGCGGCACCCGGGGCGGTAGCCCGCCGCGACACCCCCCCCCCCCCCCCTCCCTCTCGCGTGGCCCGCCACGACTCCCCCCCCCCCCTCCCCCCCCCCCCCCCCCGCTCTCGTGGCCCGCCGCGACACCCCCCCTGAGCGCTGCACCCCCCCCCCCCCCCCCCCCCCCTTTGTGACGCCACTGCATCAGACGCTGTGCGAAACGAAAGCCACCACCTGGTCTTTCATAAGGACCAGTTCCCACATACAGCGCAGTGTTAATTCAGTCGTGACGACATCAATGCCGCACAGTCCAAAGAAAAAAAAAATAAGAGAGAAAAAAGGGTGGCTAATCCTTGCCCTTCATTTGAATATACTTCGGGAGACTTTCGGCTCGAGTGTGACATCCCTTTCAAAAATCTTCGGGCTGTTCTTTGTTCCTTTTTTTCCTTTTTGCGCAACAGCTATACTATCGACACCGCACCGATCGTTCAGCGTCTGGGCTAGACGAAACTCCGTCGTTCTCAAAACAAAAATTGCCGACGAAAAACCAGATAAAACGCCGCCACTCCGGGAGAAGTTAAAACAAAAATATGGCGAAGAAGAAACGAGCGAGAGAAACCTCCAGCGAACCATCGTGGGGATTATAGCGCCGCCTTGCGAGTCAAGTAATCACAGCGTAACCGTCCAAGTCGGCGAGTGGACGCAACAATGGGCTCCTTCCTTTGTCCTCGGGCGAGCGGGAGAGGGCGCTGGTGCGGGTGGCGCTCGCCGGCGAGCCTCGATTGAAAAGAGCGAGCAACTCGATCCGCGGAGAGCGTTGGCAGACGCCCCTCCTGGGCAGATTGGACAGTGATTTCCCTACACACCCCTTAATGGGTGTACACCCCCTTGGTTTTTCTGAAGGCACCCCCTTAATTAGCAACGACTCCTCTATCCTCAATGCGCCCCCCCCCCCCCCCCCCCTAATTTCAATGCCTGGCGAAACCCCTGAGATTGAGCGCGTAGCGCGGAGGAATCCAGACGGAGAAGTGGAACAATAACGCGGTAGAAGGCGAGGTTTACTCATGGCGTCATCGTTAGTGGTTTCCCAACGCGAAGCGCAAGTTCACCCGCTTCTCGCGCAGGGGTTGCAATGACTTCAGAACGCCAAGCTCTGATTGGCCCATTTGGAAGGATGGTTGATGTTCATTGGCATCAACAAATGTTCATCCACTATCCTTCCAATCGGAGCCAATCAGAGTCATTCACCCCGAGCATACCGCATAACGGTATGCTCGACGAGAGCATACGGCATAGCGGCAGACGCGCGCGTCTGGGCGTGGGCGTCGCGCTGGTTGTGAGACGGAGCAAGACGCCCTGGCGACGACACTGGCGCGAGATAGGCGGCGCTGCGTTCATCCACCAAACTCGTTTACATCCCAAGAACCGAGGTAAAAAAAGTCCGGCTCTTCGCGGAACATTACTAATTGCCCCCTTTATGTGGATAATCGAGATATGTGTAGGCGCATTGTAGATCAGATACGCGTTATCTTATCAAGACATACACGTTTAAAGCTCCAAAATCACCCCTCATTCCTCCCCCAGCCAAATTTTGTAAGAACTACTTCTCGCGGCGTATGAACAATGCGCAAAGTTTCTTCCTTCTTGAGGTGAAAACGAGCATATAGTAATGACGTTGAGAGGCAAAAAGGCGCCGGGCCTTGCCTTCCAGGCAATGTTGTGTGGACGGGCTTGCAAACGATCGCCGCTTTCGTCGTCTCCTCGCAGTTCGTGGCCTTCAAACCAAGTGACCCCGTTCAAGCAGTTGGAAACGCTCTGGGATCTAGGCACTCTAGCCGCTCGCTGGAGCAAAGGTCTCGTCCTCACTCGAGAAAAGATCTCAGACCAGTCGAGGATTATGGAGGAAAGGGGGAAGGGGGGGGGGGGGGGGGGAGGGGGGGGGGGGGTCCGGAAATTCATTTTCTGCAGCCCTGGCTTTCCCATTAGTGACGCCCCGGAGATCCCTCTGTCTCCTGAACCCGGGGGCTTGAACCCGAGTTTTCGAAAAGACGGTGGGCTGCGAGGACAACGGTTGCCGTCGCCTGGAGTGTTGGACGGATATTCTGACAGGTATCGCAGTGAAACCGATTCGCCTACGAAGGCATGAGTATAGATATTGCTAAGTTGGAATGTGCTTTCAATTTCCTTAGTTACGTGTTGATGCATTTGTGTGTGTGTGATAGGCGTTGCGCTTCGAAAATTCACACTCGGTACCTCAGACCTTTTTTGTGCTATTGTTTTAATTGCTTATTATGAACCGGTGCTAACAAAACGTCCCCACATAATTAAAACAAAAACTGCAGAGCAAAAATTCCATCCCTTCATAGCTACGGTTAATACAGTCATATCTCGCTAATATGGATCCCGTTAATATTGATACCTCGCTATATGGACACTATTTTTGGGGACAAACTGGGAAAATGCTTGCGTTTTTGTCTCGTTATTATGGACAACTCACATTATGAACAATTTTTGGGGGGAACGACAAAAAAAAAAAAAGATACGAAAAACAGCGCCTAAAAACACAGGGACACAGAAGAAGAGAAACACGACAAGGCGCACTTTCAACTGAAGTTTACTGAAATTTGAAAGTTTTTTGGTTTTTTTTCGTTTGCAATTTAACCAACTGGCTCAAGTCTCCACTTTAGGCGACATCACCTGAAGAGTTTGCTTCAAATTCTCAGCGGCGGTTGGACATTTATAAATATTACAAATCACTGAAGGTACAGTGCTCTCCAAACTTACATGGAACACGCGAACTGTGCATTATCTCATGGCAGCGCTCTCCTGGCGGCAGCCGAAAAACTGCGCTCAATAGAACAGCCCGGGCAGCGGATGCCGCACTCTCAAGGTCGGAATCGCGAATGAATTGCGGACAGCACGTTAACATTGCGTGCTCAGCAATCTAGACTTTTTTCCAGCCCCTCGCACTATGGTGCATAGATGAGTGTCACAATTGTCAATTACTGGATGGCTCATTCAGTAGAAACATGAAATGCCCATTGATTCAGTCATCCAGTCACTGATGATATCGCGAGCTAGAGGCCTCTTTTCTTTTGGGTGTTCCTTTTGGGTGTTCCTTTTAGGTGTTCCGGGATAGCGCTTCTGTGAGGTAAGACACAGTTCACGTGCACCCATGCAAGTTTGATGAGCACTGTCCGTCCAGTCACATTAGAGCACACGATGCACACAGCGTTTCCGTTAAAAGACAAGTACACCAGTTTAAAAACAAGCAGACGGGTCTCACTCTTTCTGAGATTAAGGAAACAGAAATGGCGCAAAAGTCTTGCACGCAGTGGGTGTAAGCACTTATCATTCTTCATACAAGTATGTAACTTTTCATTCTTTTTACTGAAGAAAGAAATTACGCGACGCCGAACGCTGGAGTCTGAAGAGACTGCTGACAATGATGAGTGATAGGCGTCGTAAGTACTTTCGTCTAAACACAACTGTGTTACGCATATTGAATAGCCGTGACTAGAAGTCGTATATACCGGAACGGCTAAGTCGACCCTCCAAAGCGGAGAGAGAAGTCACTGTTTCAAAATGCTTTAATACCTGACTGTTGAACTATCCTTCCAGAAAATTTAATGGTCGGCCTAGTGAACCGCAACCTCATATTATATAATTGAACTAATTAAATGGTTAAGGGACATGTCTTAATCTAATTTGGTGATATGATGGCTCTTTTATGAAGGACGCGATACTCTTGCTGAAACTACCCGCTATAATGACCGAGCCTGTAACTTTAGGCGATGTATTAATAACTCTCTAATGGCAAGTTCATTCGTACTTCTTTTTAACATTCGGTATGAACTGCCGTTTGTATAAAAAAAAAGACAGGGCGCTTGTAACTATAGTCGGTGACAGGTTAAAAGTTGGTCAGGGGAAGCTCCTTCCCCCTCCATTCACTTTAGCAAAGCGGTCGCTAGAGAGGAGGTCGCCTCCTCACCAGCGTTCGCTCTGCTAAAGTGGAAAGAGGCGGGAAGAGCTTCCACTGAACTTTTCGCCTGTCACCGACGGTAGGTCCCGACAGCTGAAGCGACGCGGGGCGTGGCTTCTGATGCTACCGCTTTGTGATTGGCCCTCCGGCGTTCTTATCTGCTAATGCCGCACTCTGACTGGCTGTGGAGCTATAATGAGATGCGTGGATCTCGCTACACCCTGAGTTCCTTAAGCTGTCGTTGGCTGTAGCGTGGATTCTCAAACTGTGTTCCTAGGAACGCGGGGGTTCCCCGGAGTACCCTCGGAGGTTCCCCCGAATTTTTTCTCGAGCGTCTTCGCCCCCGTGCAAAGCGTTTCTTTTGTTTAAGCACCATTTGAGAAGGTCTGATCCACCCACAGGCGCACGACTATGAGCCAATCACTGCCTGGTGTGTAAATTGCTATTTAGAGGGCGGCTTCTGCGCCACTTTACTCTATTAATGCCAAGACCGGAAAGAGTTCCTCCGCAATTAATCGAGAGAAATAGGAGTTCATCGAGACTGAAGAGTTCGAAAACTCACAAACTATATAGGACGTCGCTTGTCGCTGCGAGCTACGTATATGTTAGTGCTTGTTTTTTTATCGGGTCGTGCGAAGCTTTCAAAGGAAACCCAGTGACATTCAGAGGATCGAGGTGGGTCTTAGTGTACCTTTGAAGAGCGGCACGAGGCGCCCCCAGCAGGTGATGGCTCCCTTGCGGTGGTACTGACCCAGGGCCAGCTCCATGAAGAAGAGTGGAATGCCGCCGACCGAGAGCATGATCAGGTACGGCACCAGGAACGCCCCTGGAAAAGGCCGTATGATAACGGCTTTTAGAGCGCAGCTCTAGGCGCCCGTTTCCGGGTTAAGTGGTGTCGCCGTCAGCATCGCCGTCGGCGTAACTGCGCGCGTTGCATTATGGGACATTTCCCCGATAAAGTTAGCGGCAAAACTTTCCCGCTATATTTAGCATGAAACTTTTCCCGCTATCTTGAGCGAAAAAAATGTTCAGCTAATGTTAGCGGGGAAATTGACGTCACGTGACCCGAACACTAATTCAGTTTCCCCGCTAAATTTAGCGGGGAAAATGACGTCACGACTTCGTGTCACGTCACCCATGAACAAATTCAGCGGCGGGAGTAGAGGAGGAGGAATGGAGGAGGAGGGTATGGAGGAGAAGGAGGGGCATACCCTCCTATCCGAATTCTCCCTCATCCTCCCCCAGAGCTGCGCTCTAGTTTCGCATTACAGAGATTCGTAAACGTCTTTCACTTTTTGGATACGACAATACGGGAAAAGGCGAACTTAGTCACCCGTATCAACTCTTCCCTTGCGGCGAGGGTCATACGGAAAGCTGGTTAGGCAAATAAAAAAACATTATCCCCCCCTCCCCCCTAACAATAAGAACTGTAATACCCAATGCGACTCTATTTTGCGTCTCTGTCAAGTTCAATTTTTGTTGTTCTTTCTCAGAGGTCAGCGTTAAAAAAAAGAGACCTAATCTTTGTGTTCCATTACTGTAGATGTGGTCGTATTTTTCGCGAGCTGCCAAGACGGTGTTTTCTTTTAACGGCTTTGTTTATGCGTTGCTGTACGTACCGAATGTCGATTTTCCACCGCGAGCGGAAATATGTTCTTCACACAGAAGGTCCTGGCCACAGATCTCCCACCCTCCCCCGATCGGTGCATGAGTACCCCATACACGTGAATTCACGCAGTCAGCAGAGCCAACGCTCCTGTCAATGGGAAACTTTAGCAAACCGTTACCGTGTTCCGCGTGCCGCACTAACGGAGCCTTTGAAGCATGCTTTTAGGCGCGCGCCCTGCGGTCTTGGTATCACTCCGGGCGCGCGCTTAAAAGCATGCTTCAAAGGCTCCAGTAGTGTGGTACGCTGAACGCGAAAACGGTTTGCTAAAAATTCCTAATGGAGGCAGGCCATTTCGTAAACTAGACTAGGTACCGTGGTCGCTTCTCGAGCTCTAACGGTGTCGTCGGAAACCTCCGATTATGGTCCAGTGGTATGAGACTATAGCTAGAGGGGCTCTGGGTGCGACCGATGTTTATCCGCTAGCACCGTGGGAAGCTCCGCGAAGGGGCTTTCTGATTTCCGAAATGCCAAGTGTATCCCGCAGGTCCTTCACAACGCTTGCGTTCACGAGACGTCTACCATGCGTGTTGTGTCCGGCATGTTCTTTGTTTGTCTTTTTTATTATGCACATAATACACCCAAGTGCGATCCATACTTGAAGGACGTTTCCCGGTGACGCACGTTTTGTCTATTCTCGCCGTCGGAACTCGTATACTTTCTCTAGGTCATAAACAAACCATGTCTTACTGTTTAAGTTCTGAGCCGTGAGACCTGTCCTTTTGACTCTCGGAGAGGGTGGTGTCCTCTCGTCCGATTCGCCGGGAGTGCTTCTATGCCATGCATTCAACGGGATTCTGTCCGGACCTTGATTGGACGGGGCAAGTTTCGGTGCACTATCCTAACCCCCTGACCTAACGCGGGATCGTTGAGCTTGAGCGGGAGGCCCAGTAGTTCTCTCCCGCACTGTGTCGAGTTATTTCTGTCGTGCGCGACAGCCTCTGTTCCCAGACTACACTGGTGTTCACACCTCGTGCGGGCAAACTTTTGAGGCCGAGGCCTTTTTGTAACTGTTAAGCTACGCAAGCCGTACACGGCAGTTTGTTACAATTGCTTTACATTTCCGCTGTTTTGTGTAATTGTTTTATGTATCAGTAAAGGTTTATCTGTGCGTCTTATCATTATACAACTTCGTCTCCAAGTATATTATTTCTTTGCCGTCCGCAAAAAAGAAGAAAAAAAAAAGTCTCCTTTAAGAAGTCCAACTGGCCTCCGCTTCCACGATTCTCCCCGGTCCCCGACTCCCGCCCGCGCTCCGTAGTGACATATCCACTATGAGTACAGTTTCGATCAAAGCTTTTTCCGAGACCCACAAGTACACGCCAGCTCTCATTGTCCGCGATAGTATCAGTCACGAAGCATTCCTAAAGAAAAATTTCTTACAGTTCTTCCATGCACGTTTCAGTGCTTCGTCCAGACAAATTGATGCCGATATTCCGAGTGAGAGCAACTGCACATTCATAGAACGCGCCCCACAGCCCAGGAGGCAAAGATGACACGCGCAAAAGCAGTTCGCCATATACGAGGGCGCTATTTATAACGCATGCTCAGAACGAGCTCACATTACTATAGCTGCTAAGACCGGCAATCTTGATGGTGTGGAACGTACGTTACAAAAGAACTGTGGAAGCTCGCCATCAGCACGCGTTCAGCAGTCGCGCACACAGCTTTGACCGCCAGTGATTACTCCTTATTGGAATGGCGGTGAAGAAAAAAGAATTGAATTGTGTGTATGTTTATACAGACTAGAACTTGGTCTGCCTCAACGGGCGACGAGTCTCCCAGCTGTAGGTGAGAAATTTATCCATTGCAGTACCACGGCCACTCGATCCCCCCTAATCGAGTGGCCGTGGCAGTACAACCACTAGCCTCGGGTCTTTAAAGGGATGGTGAACCGAAATTTGGATTTCAGAAAACCATGCAGGAGCTGTAGGTGGAACGCTACAATCCGCAGAACACTACTCGTAAGGCGATATCTCGAATGGACGACCGTATTTTTGGAAAAAGAGGTCGAGATTGGAACGAGGCCGACAAAACGTGTGACGTCAACATATCTCGTTTCCTCCTCTCTTCGCGTCACACCCTCAAGGCGGCGAGGCGTAGGAAACGCGAGGCCGTTTTCTCTCCTTGTCGACTCGCTTCCCGGAGAAACAGGACGTCAACATATCTGACAAATGGGGCTCCTTTTTTTTTTCTTTTTTTTTTTTTTAGAAAAATACGGTCGTCCGTTTGAGATGACACTATATGAGTGATGTTTTGCTGTTTGTAGCATCCCGTTGCACGCTTTTGCCGCCGTGTTTTGTAGAATCCAGATTTCGGTTCAGCATCCCTTTAACGTGCATCACGCGGCAGTGATGCACGACCGCACGCCGGTACGATGCTCATCTAGATCGAAACGGGCAGGGGTGGGGATTGAACGAATGGCGGTGAAGAAATTCTATACTCAGTTTCACTTTAAGCGCCAACGAGGCCGAAGCTACAAGAGCGAGCATTTGCCCCTGAACAGTGCTTGCACTGCACAAGCGCGTATGCCCGGCAAGGTCGCTGAAAGCTCGCGCTTGCAGCTCCTCCCACGCTTACACTAAAGGCCGGTTCTCACATACAGAGAAGCGTTGATGTAGCACTGCTCGCGTGTCGTCAGCTACTTATCGTCTGCCATGAGCAACAGTTTTGGCGGAGCGATGCACTGCTGGTGAACGCTCCCGTAAGCACGCACTTAGCGCGAGGTCAGCGCCAGGGCCGGACTACGGTACGGGCTAAGGGGGCTGCAGCCCAGGGCCCCAGGCTGCCAGGGGGCCCTGGAAATTCGAAAAAAAACAAACAGAGACTACTCGGTTTCAGTTCAAATCAGCTCAAACCTAAAGGTTTTTTTTTTTTCTTTTCTTTTTTTAGGGTGAAACAAGGATGCGATAAAGTTCCCTTCTCTATACTTCGTTTCACCTTGTCTGCGAGCGAAGCCAAAGCTAGAAGCGCGAGACCAGCGCTTTTTGCGTTTCTCCCCAGCTCGCGCGCTCGAGCAAAGCCTGAACGCACGGAGCTTTCGTGCTCGCGCTTCCAGCTTTGCCTTCGCTCGCACATAAGGTGAAACGAAGTATAGACAAGCTGGTGTTTGTGAGCTTTTTGTAAAAGACTATGCTAGAGCAACAAAATGTAAGTGTTTCCTCCCACCCTCCTTGTGGGAGGGAGCAAAGCTGTCAGACGCTGGCGATCCCGTTGAAGTGTCTTGCATAATTAAAACCAGACGGAAGGACGGGCACGGAGTTCTCTATTGTACTGGGGCCCACTTGACGTCTTTTACGGACAAAGGTGGGTTGGAAGGCAAGCAAGTGTTGCCGAAGGCTACACGAGCAACATAGATGCTACACATTATGTTTTGTTCATTTTTGGTCTTTCAGCGTAGTTCCCTATGGAAAGTTTCCTCCGAAACGACAAGTTTAAAACAAGCAAAAAGAAATATCGGAGAATCTTCCGAAGTCATCCTTTTTAACCATTAAGAGGCGTTTCAAGGAGCTCGCTCTTGAGATGTCCCCCAAATGTTTTCGAGAGGCAGTGACTGCAAGTGACTTCTCTGGAGCCTGTGCCTAATCTGCCAGTACGAGACAAAACTTTTCCTGCCATCGAGTGATATGAACGCTGCAACCTTTATACGAGCCTCTAAGGCATGACCTATTATCCTTAGTTAAGAGTAATTAGTCCCCATGACTAAAAGAAGCTCTTAATTGGGGCAAATAGAAGAAACAAAGCCGCTTCCAAAACTAATTTAAACATCTTCCCCTTAAAATAGACAGCATGTAGGAGAGCAGTTTAAAAATATATCCTTGATCTTCATGCGAAATGCCTGTGAATGTGCCCAAATGACAGTGGTTGCTATATAACAGTCGCATTCAGTCTCAATTACATCTTTTATTATTTGAATGCAGAAGTCTGTAAGTTTGGAACAGGAGAGTTCAGTTATTAGAACAAGGTGGACAAAGCGGTTTGAGCCCTAAATGTTTAACCATCATTACGTTGTCGTCTGTGTTGCTTTATTGATCAAGACAGTAATTAATTAAAAAAAGGCTAGTTTGACAAGCTTTAATCAATCGAAGCAATTATTGGAATAAGAACACTATATTCTCGGGACAATTTTTGAGTTGCGACTCTCGAGGC